CTTTTGTTCCTATATGGGACCAAATCAAGTGAGAATAATGGACCAAATGCCCAGCCGGCTCAGTGTAAGACCCCAAGTGAGTGTTATAAAAACAGGTACATACGAAGGTATTAGCCAGCGACTAATTGGATTTTGTGTTTAGGTTTCTGTTGTGGTTCGAAGGTTTGCCACTAGTGACGTTTTGTTTTATTTGCAGTAAACATTTTGAATCTTTCCAGGCCTCGTTTGATTTAGTTGGCCAAAATATGGAAGCCACTATTACTTCTTTAAGATTGCTCGTTAGACAAGAACGGTGTACTACGTGATGTGTCAACCTGTTATAAGATCTAACAAGGAAAGCTTGAACTCTCCTGGTGTCCTGATTCGAATGATGTAGGATGGATATTACGATTAGCAGAAATAAAATGCTTTTTAATAATGGCTTGTTTGTGTCTAGTGTGTCTAGCTCTGTCTAGATCCTCTACTCTGGCAATGCTCTGTCCAGAGGCACATCCCCGTATTGGCCATATAAGGAAGTACACCCGCCGGGTAACCACTGAATGCAAGCCACCTAGTACAATAGCAAGGTTCAAGAATACAGTATTTCGTAAGTCAGATAACTAATCAACATTAATCTAAAAAAATGTTTAGGACTGTGAATAAAGTTAAATGTTTGAATGAGCGGAGATGTTACGTGCTAGCAGACGTCGACATCTCCAATTTTTGTTTATGAAGTACCATGCATATTTTGGCGTCATATTAATGTTGACGAAGTAAGTTTAATTACTCTCAAAAAGTTATTACAAAGTGCGATGGAATTATTACAAATTGCGACAGCTTAGTTTATTACAAAGTGCGATGGACAGTTGTTACAAATTGCGACAGCTTTTTTATTACAAAGTGCGACACGGTTTATTACAAATTGCGACAGGTATTACAAAGTGCGATGGATTTATTACAAATCGCGACAGGTATTACAAAGTGCGACGATTATTACAAATTGCGACAGTACATATGGTACTTCAGTCTTCTTAACGATTTGTTACTAGGTTAAAAATGACACCAACAAGCTAAGTCTGATCAGCGTACATACATTTTTTTTTTCTTAGTTAAAGCTTTGTACTAAGCCTCATTTTCAAAAAGAGGTCTGCTCGTAGCACTTGGGAAATGGCCATTCTCGTTCCCAGACCCGTGATCCTTTTGGACAGCGCCAGTTTTTGATGCGTGGCGCTGAACAAAAGGATCGCCGTTTACTCGAAAGAATAATCGCTGCACGCACGGGTAGAATCTTCTTATGCAACAACTTTATTGACTATGAAATCGCAGAAATTTAGCAAGTCCACCCAACCGGTCCATGATAACCTGTGGGAGCAGACTCTGGAATCTGAACGCTAGTCCATGATTGAACGATATTTGCACCTTCACTCTCACAAATACTAGGATACTATTATAATATTAGTATTTTTGCAATTTCTACTCAGTGCTTTTAAAAATGTTTTAAGGAAGAAAACAGCCTTTAAACCGAAAACGATTGAAATGAGAAAAGGCGCATTTTCCCCCTTGTGTGACCTTCGTATTACGATCCACATTCCTGATCATAATGGTTGAGACCCTTGTGAAGTTCTTCTTCCCTTTCCCTTCAATTTTCATTGATTCGAAGACGTATATGCTTAAACAAACGTGTGAAACTAACATTGCGGGAAGGGGAGGGAAGTAAGACGTGAATTCATAAAACCACTAAGTTTAACTTCTGTTTTCAGGAAGTGTTTCAACAAATTATGACCGGGATTGTAGATTTCCACCGCTCTTGTTCCTCTTGTTGGGCCCGCTGGGGATTGTGAAGCAGCTTAAAGGCTACCATTTTTTGGTAGCATGATTAAGGACGGTTCCAAAATTGTAGAAGCAAAAGTCAGCCCGGTTCTAAAAAAATCTATTTCAAAGCAACTGATTTTAGGTCATTTTAGGAATCTGCATGGTTTTAAAGTGTCTCGGCGTATTTTCTTTAGATAGAAACGTCGGCCAGAAAAATCGTATTTTGAAAACAGAATGACTCCTTAAATCGTATAGCTAGCGTATATAATTAGCGACGCCAAGGAAATTTGGGGGCAAAAGGAAACTGACGTGGAAAATGCAATCAAATTAATGAACAATAATGATGAAAATATATGTATCATGAGATAAATAATGTATTGTGTACCGTGGACAATAAATGTGACTGCCTTTGCAACATTAACAAAAAAGTATCCCCTGTATCAATGAGAATCGCTGAAAATATAGTGAAAAGGTTTAACAGAGGTACTCAACTAGGTTGCTTTCATAACTTTCCAGAATTGGGTTTAGTTGCAAAAAATGATGGTACGTGTATACTATAAAGAAGCGATTTCCTCTTACTCCGTAATCATTATCTCTGCTATTAGTAGAGACACTGCCTTTTAAACTTAATAAATAATGGTCCCGGTTAAGAGAGAATGAGCTTGCTAAAATACATTTTTCTCAAAGCTAAGGTGCAGATAGAGCTAATTCCAAAACGCTTAGCAGTCAGCTGCTTCCAAAAAAGGTGTACTTATAGGCATAATTTCGCTTAATTAAGGAGTGCTTTTTGCCGAACAGAACAAATTATTATATAAATTTATGCCATTAAACAAATTCCGTTTGTTCAGGTGCGGTGACTAAGTTACCAGAAGTGTGGTTTTATAATCTTTATATTACGCTTCAAAGTTTACCGTTATCATGTGAACATGTTGTGCCTTTGATCACTGCGTTTTAACTAAAAACAAAGATTTTAATCAGGATGGCGGTAGGATACTTTGAAGCTTTCGTCAAAACATGGAGAAATCACTGGGTTGAGTGGAAAAAACGAGGCTTAACAAAGACGTTTCTGAAAGATTTCGTTGACGATGTTTCCACTGACTTCTATATATCAGCTAATGATATTCTTCTATGTGCAGTTCTTGGCATTTTCTTCACCGTAGCGCGTTTCTTCTTGAATGAAGCAGTTTTTAAGGTAAGAGGACAGAGGTACGTTGTTTCAACCTATTTTACATACTAGGTTGGCCAGGTCATCAGAGGCACCCAGCGACTTTTTTTCTGTAAAATAATTGTTAGAAGTAGCAAATATTGCCTAGAAAATTCTAAAGCTTGAGAAAAGCTAAAAATTTCTGGATAACCGCTCCATTCGTCTAAAATATTCGGAGGTTTTCTAATAGCTTAACTACGATTTTCGTAGGTTGTGTTATTGCGATTATTGTTAAAAAAGTTCTCTTAAAGCTTTCGGTATAAAGACAAACGTCCCCTAAAATTTTCTAATGAAAGCAAGGCTACTTTTCAACCGGACCCATAAGCGTAGCTAACACTTTCGGATGAGACGAAAAAGCCACCTAAAACTTTCGTGAAGACCATAGTTCCTCTAAGACATCCGAACAGATGAATAGTTTTTAGGGCAACTTCAAATCAACCAAACAGGCTTCTAGTAAAGCATAGAGACTGCAACCACCTGAGACACTTCTGGCGCATTTTGGAAACATTCGGTCGTGGGTGCGCCTGAAGTCATTGGCCCTAGTTATCTTTTTAAAAGTAAACATTGAAGTAAAATGTGTATAAATCAAGAAAACTAATTAAAACATATCAATGCGAATTCAATGTAAATTACGGCTGAAAAAACTTCAAAGGGAATATTTAAAAGCTAGATATGAAATTTGAGGCAAATAAAGAATTCAAGGGAAATCTCTCCTTACAATCCCATTCTAGACACAAGTCTAGCATTAATGTCTAGGTACGTTTGGCTTAATCGCTGGTAACTTACTATTTGCCTAAATCACGATCACATACTGACTTTGCAAATTTATTAGTTTTTATAAACCTGACTTAAAACGTTTCTTACATGAGTATATAATGATTAATTATTCCTCATCGCTCTCTTGAAAAGCTTGAAAGCAACTGTATTATATTTCTTCATACAACAAAACATATACAGGATATGTGACGGTGGCGCGAAGATACGAATTTTATTTTCGAGTGGCAAAACAATATCTTACGAACGAGCGCAGCGAGTGAGTAAAATATTGTTTTAGCCTGTGAACAGGCCTTTGGTCGAGCGGGGAACTAGGGAGAGGGAAAAGCGAAAAGGCCTTCCCCCCCTCCCCCTTCCCTTCCTTTCCTTGCAAAAAACAGAGAGCATGTTCACAGGCTAATATTGTTTTTGCCACGAGAAAATAAAATTCATATCTTCAAACCGCCGTGTAATGTTCTTTTTATTATATAGACAAAAAGACATCAATAAAATAATAGAGGGAAATGACCGAAATTACGTCATCGATAAACTCACGTGTGAGATTATGGAAAATAAACCACTCAGGTCCCGGATGTAGTTTTCATGAATTTTGCGAGTGGTATATTTTCCAGTAAAACATTCGTGTCTATATAATACAAATAGTTATGGCTTGCTTCATTACCACTGATATTGGTATAACAAATAATTATACTATAAAATCTCTCTCTTCTTATATATAGATATAAAATGTATTTTCAAAATATTTTTGATAGAACGTTAGTGATATAAGAAAAATAATATTTTCTCATGTACATTAAAAATTGAAATTTTCAACGATAAATAACACGATAATTTTGTTTTAATATGAAACACTAGCAACCATCAAAACAAAAGAAAGTAATGGATGCATTGGTGCCTCTGTTTCTTTATATTTGAATATTACCAATCTCTCCTTTGTGCCTTGAGCAGGTCTTTCCGGTAATAATAGATCACAGGGGACGTCAAATGTCTGCGGTTCATGTGCTAAAACACATTTTAACATCATTTGTGATTGATTACTGAACAGACACACGGCAAAAAGGAACCAAGTGGTAAACTATAATGCGTGATCCTCTTAGACATCATATTATGATATGAATCTTACGTAACGTAGATTAGTTACAAAAGAAGAAATGTATGGGGAAAAAAAATTCGTGCAAAGCTTGCGCCTCTGACAGAAAAAAAAAAACTCCCCCCTCCCTCGCCCTATTGCATCACCTTTTCGATGCCAGTTGGCACGAAGCTCTCGGAACGCCATTTCTGATTGGTTCATCACTTTACTTCAGTTGCAAAGGTTGCAACCATTTCATTTTCAATCTACTGAGTTAATCTACAAGCTTCTACATTATCAACCCAAATGATAACACGAAATCTTTGTATTTCACTCCCCTTTCGATGCAACACCAAAGTTTCTCTAGAATATAACTAATTAACCCTCCAATCACATCAGCTTGGTTCAACGCCAGTCATAGAAATCTCGTACCAATTACTCTCGATCAGGCTCACGCGGCCCTAAAGGGTAAATTTCATAAGTTACTGCGCTTGGTTTTGGAGACTGAGGAGGTCTATGTTGATGTGAGTCGTACTATTACCAGTTCCTACCTGAGCTGACTTCTTATTCAGTTAAAGTGTTCTCCTTCCTTATGTATCCATAATTTTAGTTTAGTATCGTTCTTGTTGTAGTTTTCACTTATAATGTCCAGGATTGCACTCTCTAATACCATCAACTGACGTGATACAACTCACTTTGACTCCGAAGATTACTACCGCACAGGTTGCCGAAACGTCAGTCACTCTCAAAAGCAACAGTCCTATTCAGTCTATTCAGGACTACGTTTACCCGGAAGATCATACTCAAGCTACTTATGAAAAAATTTAGTGTTAGCAAAGTTTTATCGAAATTTTGGCAAAATAAAGTCGAAGCGGGGGAACTGCTTGCAGCAATGTATAGAAGAAACAGCAAATATAGCAAGAATAAACACAAGAAGTTCTTTCTTTTCCGTCCTTTGCAAATGGTATTTATTTATAGGAGACTCATGATTATTGTATTGATACCCACCTATAACATAACATAGTCAACTCATAAAATAATTATTTTCAAATCAAATAAACTGTTATTTTCCCATATAATGTGAGCAATGTAAATATAAAATGAAAAACACCCTCCATTTAGCATAACAGCATCCACTAAAGTTTTCGAAACACTCTGATTTCATTTGCAGCCCATCTTCAGGAAGTTTAAACTGCTTGCGAAAGAAGAGGAAAAATGCCCTGAAAGTGCCTTCAAGCTTTTGTTTTACTCCATAGCATATGGATATTGTTTCCACTTACTATTTAGTGGCAAATATGACTTTTTTCATGAGACAAAGAACTGTTGGAGAGGTAAGTGTTTTAACACACGAGTCAGCCAGTTTTAATAAGTGACGATCACGCTGAGTCCATTGGTTATTACTGGAGAGTTGCCGGAATTGAAATACAAGTCCAAGCTAATTTTACCTCACCGTGATAGAACAGGGAAAATAACTTAGAGCGCTTTGAGTCCGGAAAGCACAAAACTTCAAGTCAAATTCCTCTAAGCTTTAGCTTTTATAGGCTGATTTGGACCCTTGACGAATTTAAATGAAAAATCGAGAGCTCGATTTTTTTTACAGAATGGTTGGTTTATCTAGACAGCCAGCTCTAACAATGCTAATTTGATACAGAATTTTTGGTATCTCTAGTTAAATCTAATAAACGCGCTAAAAACGCGCTACATCCGGGGCTTGGTATGCAAGTCCACACTAATCCCGTACCCAGATCTCTTGTCGACGAGGTCGAAGGCGAGCGGCTTCGTCAATAAGAGTTCTGGGTACGAGATAAAGTCTGCACCCCTTTTTGTGTCGTGGGTTTTTATTGAAAAGTCAGTTTGTTTTGTATAATGGCCTCGGAAATGTTAGCTTTCTACCATTTTCCTACAAAAAGACATTCTTAGGCTTCGTTACGTAGCTTTTTGCTAGAATAAAAAGTCCGATTCAAGTAAAGCTCTCTGTCCTTAAAACGCTCTACCTCTTTTTTTTAGGATGGCACAAAGGAATGCCAGTTCCTGATGACATTTACACGCTCTATGTTGTGCAAGCGGGGTACTACATTCATGCCTTATATGCCGTATTGTTTATGGATCTGTGGAGGAAGGACTCAATTCTGACGTTTTCACATCACATTCTTACTATTTCACTTATTGTATTGTCATTTTCGCTAAGGTAAAAATTGTCCTTAACCAACTTAAGGTCCAGCTTGGGACGCCTGGGACGATTTTTTCAAACGAGGGTGGGGGCTTTGACTCCTTTTACTTGCGCAGAAGGTGCAGCAATAATACAAAGTTGGAATGAATCAGGATGGAAAGCATACGAAAATATGAGGTGTTAGCCAGTCTAACTTTGTGAAAGCATGGTTTGAACTAAGAAGTCATCTCATAAGTAGTCTGAGTGTGATCGTACGGGTGAGGTCCTGAATAGGACTGCTGTTGTTGACAGCGACTAACGTTTCGGCAACCTGTGTGGTAGTCATCTTCGGGGTCAAAGTGAGTTGTATCACGTCAGTTGATGGTATTAAACTCTGGTTATTGACTTGATTAGTCAAATAAGTCTCGATGTTATTGGTCGTGCCGTGCTGTTATTGGCAACGAAGACTCGAACTATTATCGGTGCGTTTCGTCACAGTTAACAACATTCCTAGCCCGCCAGGACTAGGATCACCCAGACGATCACGCTTCACCTACTCATAAAAACTAACTTTGTGTGCATCGAACTCGTGGCAAACCGTTCTTGAATTCCCTTTAACGGTACGTTTTGCACATTCACAACGACTTTATTCAACTTTAGATGCTGAGTCGAAGTTGTATTGGCTAAGCGCAAACTACACTGTGTCCCTACCACCTTTCGTGGCAATATATATTGACGTAAGTGGCATGCGTAAAAACGGTCATATCACCAGAGACCCTCAGATAGCAGAGGCGAGTGACAAAGGCGGTTTTTAGAATAGCCCTTGCATCTTTTCGGTTTTATAGGTTCCACGTGAATTGTAAATTTGTAAATTCATGTAATTTGTTTACTCACGGATCACCTAGGAGTTCTTAAGAAGTCGTTGAAAAGCGTCCGTGCGTTCCAGATAGAATTGGAATTTGGAAGTGATGGTTTTTTAGGGAGGGGGGAAAACTGGAGTGCCGGAGAAAAACCTCTTGGAGCAAGAGAGAGAACCAAGGACAAACTCAACCCACATGTGGCGTCAACGCCAGGATTCGAACTTAAATCATCCTAAACTTAAATCAACTGTTAAGCTACAAGTTGTAGCTGCAGTGAGCTTTTCAATGCGATATAGTTCGAAGCAAACTGTTTTTTTTTTCTCTTTTGTTTCATTTCAGGTACCATAAAATTGGTGTTCTCGTCCTGTTTCTACATGACGTCAATGATGTATTTTTAGAATTCGGTAAACTCTGTGTGGCATTCAAGACGCGCAACGGAAAGTACCATCTTCTTCCAGACATTCTCGGTTCTGTTACATTTTTGTGCTTTACGTTACTCTGGTACGCAATGTTGTATTTGTTAATCAAAAATACCCTAGGGTACTTACCATTTACTTGGGAAAACCAGAAGTTCCGGTTGGGAAATCAAATGGTTCGAGCCATTCCATTTTGGTACTTCAGAAAATATGGGCTGTGATTTAAGGTGATGCAATTTTTGTAGTCTAGTGTGTAGCTAATTTGGATATACTTTGTAGCGGGTCGTTTTCCCACCACGTCAAATTTTATAGTTTTATGTCTATGCACCGAATTTCCATCCTGGTGGTTTGAGTAAATGGTAAACATCCAATGCATCTCAAGTAAACACTTTTAATAGCCGGCACTGTGGGCCGGCGTTTGAACTTTCTTTACTATACTTAGTTAATATGCTCTCCCTTCCCTTCATTCTCTATCTAACGCAGTTTAAGATAACCGAACGCTTCACTGCCCAGAGCTGATCATGACAGGACCCTAAAAAAAGCCAACACAGTTTAAGTTGCTGTTTCCTTACCGCAATCATTGCGCATTGTTTGAACCGTAAACAAGTGGTTACTGTTAGTTGGGAAGCGCAAAACAGTTCTCCCACGGCATGCGTATGGGGATGGAATCGGGAAAATTGACCTGTGTGCCCAAACAATTTTGAAAAAATACCAATTTTTGCACTGAGCCACACGTACCAACACCGCGGTGGAGCTGGCGCTCAAAAGAGTGCTTCTTTGCGCTCGCCTCGGTTGTAAAGGGTCTTTGATTCTTGACGGGTTCGTCCGTTCATATACCCGACGGCAATGCCAGCTGTCCATGGCTGCCACCGCCGAGGTGATATGGTTGTGCGTATGCGTAAGGTAAAGGCCATACCACGGAGTTGGTACGTGTGCTTTAATGCTAAAATTGGTATTTTTTTACATTAAGATCTGCACTTATCTTACCTTTCTAATAATCACTGTTTTAAGGGTTTATTGCCGACTGTACCTTTACCCAATCAAAGTGCTCTTCGCTGGAAGCTACGAATTCAGTAAGCTTGTTCCAAACCGCCCATTTTACTTCTCTGGCAATATNCATTCTCGGTTCTGTTACATTTTTGTGCTTTACGTTACTCTGGTACGCAATGTTGTATTTGTTAATCAAAAATACCCTAGGGTACTTACCATTTACTTGGGAAAACCAGAAGTTCCGGTTGGGAAATCAAATGGTTCGAGCCATTCCATTTTGGTACTTCAGAAAATATGGGCTGTGATTTAAGGTGATGCAATTTTTGTAGTCTAGTGTGTAGCTAATTTGGATATACTTTGTAGCGGGTCGTTTTCCCACCACGTCAAATTTTATAGTTTTATGTCTATGCACCGAATTTCCATCCTGGTGGTTTGAGTAAATGGTAAACATCCAATGCATCTCAAGTAAACACTTTTAATAGCCGGCACTGTGGGCCGGCGTTTGAACTTTCTTTACTATACTTAGTTAATATGCTCTCCCTTCCCTTCATTCTCTATCTAACGCAGTTTAAGATAACCGAACGCTTCACTGCCCAGAGCTGATCATGACAGGACCCTAAAAAAAGCCAACACAGTTTAAGTTGCTGTTTCCTTACCGCAATCATTGCGCATTGTTTGAACCGTAAACAAGTGGTTACTGTTAGTTGGGAAGCGCAAAACAGTTCTCCCACGGCATGCGTATGGGGATGGAATCGGGAAAATTGACCTGTGTGCCCAAACAATTTTGAAAAAATACCAATTTTTGCACTGAGCCACACGTACCAACACCGCGGTGGAGCTGGCGCTCAAAAGAGTGCTTCTTTGCGCTCGCCTCGGTTGTAAAGGGTCTTTGATTCTTGACGGGTTCGTCCGTTCATATACCCGACGGCAATGCCAGCTGTCCATGGCTGCCACCGCCGAGGTGATATGGTTGTGCGTATGCGTAAGGTAAAGGCCATACCACGGAGTTGGTACGTGTGCTTTAATGCTAAAATTGGTATTTTTTTACATTAAGATCTGCACTTATCTTACCCTTCTAATAATCACTGTTTTAAGGGTTTATTGCCGACTGTACCTTTACCCAATCAAAGTGCTCTTCGCTGGAAGCTACGAATTCAGTAAGCTTGTTCCAAACCGCCCATTTTACTTCTCTGGCAATATTATGCTATGGATTCTTTTTGGTATGAACTTGTGGTGGTTCCAGTACATTTTACGGATGCTGATTCGAGCGGTGACAGGAAAAAAGTTGGAAGACATACGAGAAGATTCAGAAATTAAAGATGCAGATGGCAAAATTGACTGAATAGAGTGGGAATGGAATATGTCACAATTATGAAGACATGGTAATTAAGGATGCATTGTGTAGATAAACATTTTTTTGCAAAGTGCATTGTAAAACTAACAATTCAGAAATTTCTCGGGAAATGCAACAAAGGGTTCAGTGCTTTTCCTGTAATCGATAAAATTTACACACCCAAATTTAGTGTTTCATACAGAAGCTGAAACCTCAGAACAACCTGAATTTTAAAAATTATTTTCTAATTTGATCAGGGCCCTGGCTGCTTGTATCGCTAAGGCGCTGCCGGGTCGTTGAGAACTGAGTGGCTATAAATTAGTGAACAAATCGTAATATCAGGTGCTAAAGTAAAACCAAAGCAATCATCTTTCATGTGTAGAAAGCAAATATTTTGTAGCCTCTAATGCGATTTTATTTACACAGTAACACCAATGATGAATGGATGGTTGGACGGATGGACAGTTTCTAGCTTGGAAAAATTTTCGCCAATTAAAGATAGGAGGCAAAATGTTATATACCTCCACCTATTCTTGTTACCAAAGCTTCATTGGAACCCCTTGCATGCCTGAACTTCAGTGGCTAGTCAAACGATAATTTCATCTAACCATCCATCCAAAATTCACGATCCAACTGACTGAAACCACAGTAGACCTCATGATTTGATATATAGAAAAACATGGCACCTTGATCTAAAGAATATGCTAAAAAAGAGATGATAAAACAATTGTGAGGAAACTCTTTCTTTAATTTTTGTTTGGCTCTCTTGCCAGCTGCACCCTCATCTATACTGAGGTTTGAAATGACACATTTTTTCTTCTGTTTATTTCTTTATTAGGCTCTCTTTTAAAATTATACATCATGTTGTACGGTGTTAATTTTAATTCAATAACGAGGTTTGCAAAATGCGAGCCGTGCTCTGTGGCAGATAGCCATTATATTTGCATCTTAAATCTCCATGCAAACGGACGCAACGTTGTTGGCCAACAACTCCCAGCATTTTTAGATGCTACATGTTGCGTCCCTTTGCACACCTTGTGCATGTTGTTGTATGTTGTTGCGTGCTGTTAGTAGTTGTTGCGCAAAGTTTGAGACGGTCAAACGTTATCCAGGTGCAGACGGACGGAACAACTCCCAGCATTGTTGGGCTAAAAATTTGGGAGTTGTTGCGTTCATTTGCACGTAGCTTAATCCACATTAAGTTGCGCCAACAATGCTGCTTGCTGTTGCGTCCCTGTTGCAGTGGTGAGCAAACGGATGAAACAACATGCAACAGGGCGTGCAAACGGACGCAACATGTAACATCCTACAATGTTGGGAGTTGTGGGCCAACAATTAACGTTGCGTCCGTTTGCATGGGGCTCCAGTAAAAACTTTTCATTGCTAAGAAAGGTCAAACACAGGGGAACCACACAAATTGTGACTATTGTAACGCTTGAATTTAGAGGAACTGTATGGGAATATCCGGTAAGGGAGTATTGTCGTAATGTTTGAATGCGACGATTTCTTACATATAACTTGAGATCAAAATAAACGTCTTTTTTTCTGAAATGTTGTGTATTGTCGTTCTAGCAGCAGAAAACGAGAATTATAGTGATTTAAAGGGTTTTACATTCGACGTTTACCTGAGCGTATATCTCAAAGGACGAACGACTTTTTCGAAACTCTAATTACAGTAACTCTTGTTGGGACTTGTGTTGTTTAGTTTGTCTGTTTTTTATTCATTTACCGTAATCTGTAACGGTCACTTTTGAAAACGAACATAAATCTGCAAATCCAATGCAAAGATGATCGGACTATGTAAGAATTACCTTTACAAGACATCAACATCACATCGATAGACTCCAAACAGAAAGAGGTTTCAGCCGTTAGCTGTTTCGCCTTTATTGCGGCTTATCAGAACGGATTAACAACAGAGACGCTCTTCTTAGAGTCTGTTAAAAGTCCTACATTGATCGTCAGACCCGCCGAATCATGTCATATTACGTGTCTCCGGGAGGGCTACCGAGTAAAAAGAATCTTGAAAAAGACATCAAGTTGATATAAAATGCGTAGGTTTACAGCGTTTATCACCGTTATTTGTGTTTGAATTCTGTACTGGTTCAGTTGTATTCAGACAAAATCATTATGGCCCTTGCTACAGAACATTGGATAGAGAAAGACGCCGCAACCCTGATCATTTCTTCAAAACAGAAAGTCACAGATGATGTGAAACCGCGCGTGCTGCATGTACCAGGCGTTGAGATAGTGGAGTGAGATGCGAAGTAAGATAGCTGGAAAAAAAAATAAGGAGGAAGAGAGGTAGAGAGGACTGTTTTTTTTTCTGCTCACAGCTTTTCGCGCCATCCCCATGATCTGAACGCCGGGCAACAGGTTTCGCGTGAGTGCACAGGTAACCCCATCGACCGTGTTGTTGTATTTGTTTAAATTAGCATTTCTGGCCGTTTCAGCGAGATTCTAGCGAGTTATAGTTCTACCGTTGCTCTCAGCTGTATACTAAAAAATCTCTATTAAGTCCCCCGGGGTTTTCTTTTATTTCAAACACATTTGAGTGGGGCTTATTTGAGAGGGGGGCTTATTAAATTTAGAAGACAATGGTATCAGTTTTTCACAAACAACTAGAATACAAAGTGGAAAATCTCAAGTACAAGAGGTTGGAGGTAATACAGCGGAGGTTCAAAAACAAATCCGAACTTCCAGTTGATAAATAAACCATTCAAATGAAGGCTTACAGTCGTGATTGATTAATACACTCTATTGTTTATTAGTGAAGAATCAGAATAAGGGGAAGGAAAGGGGGGGGGGGGGCTAGGGGGGGAGCTTATCAACTTTCTTCCCCTGAAAAGGGGGGCTTATTAGAGAAAGGGGGCTTAATATAGGATTTACGGTAAAGAGAGAGCAATGGTAAACTTGGAAATCGCAATCCCTCATTGCAACGTAACGTCAGGCGCGGATCCACACCGGTTTCCACCGTTTTACGGAAATGGGTCACATTTTTCAAAATAAATAATACTGTAAGATTTGGCCAATATCCTGTCTGAATAACTTGGAAACACAGGGAAAGGGACTCAAGGAGTAAAAATCCGAAACATTTCCTGGGGGAGCCCGCCCCCGGACCCCGCTATAAGATTGCGTCTTCGGCGCTCGATTTAGGGAATCGGTCAGTATTTTTCCTAATCTATCCGCGCAAGGTTATGGTTGGCAGCCGCACTGAGAAAGGAACCAGACGGCTTATAAGAGAAAAGGCGGAACGTAAACTGTGGTTTGAAGTTCATTGTTTATTTTATTTTGTTTTATTTATTTATTTATTTATTTATCACAATCTATGGTCAAAGGCCGAAGGATAATCTGTAAAGGAGTAAACCCCATATAAAAAAAGATCACCTATGAACTAATGTAGATACTTAATAAAAAACAAACAAGCTAACTAACTAACTAACTAAAAACCCCTAATGAATTTCTTAACTCTAGACTTAAAAATATTTACTTTATCAGAACAACGAATATCTAAAGGTAGTTGATTCCACAAGTCAGTTTCTTCAAGTCACTCTACACGTGAAGTTGGGGTTCCTGTGGTGAGTGTTCCTCACAGGAGGGGACACTCCCTCCCCTCCCTTATTCGATTATCTCTGTCTTTGTGCTGCACAAAGGCGGTTTTCAATATGGCTGTTGGTTACTTTGAGGGTTTCTGCAGCATATGGCACCATTGTTGCATTGAATGGAAGGAACGAGGCCCCAGAAAAACATTTCTGAAAGACTTTATAAATGAGCTTTCCGTTTATGGATTTATATCAGTACATGACATTCTTCTATGCCTACTTCTTGGCGTGTTTTTCACTTTTTTACGTCATGTTTTGACGGTAGCTGTGTTTAAGGTGAGATTTGATTTTAACTGCCTAATACTACTACTTATTTTTTATCATTAAATTGCAAAAGTGTTTACTCTTTTTGTTCTTATTAAACTAAAATCTTATTTAAGCTTCTTTTTAACCATGATAGGCTCTTTTATTTAAGTTTACTCATCGAAGTAGAAATTAATAATAAAACGACCTGAACAAATGATCAAGGCTCTACAAAAGACGAACAAAATTGCCCACAATTGCGAAAAAATCAGGTTATTCTCACTGTCGTGGCAAGTAGTGGATTGCGTGATTGCGGCCGATCGCTATTCCAGGCTATGACATCGAGCTTAAAATAGCGAAGTTTTATCCGGGACTAGGTCGGAAACTGTCAGTTTTCAAAGTAAAGTAAGCTTATTTTCGCGCCCTCTATGAATCGTATGTTTGTTGGGTGCTCCCTTGTGCGATGCTGTAAATTTATTTCGTTATGCTGCCTGCGTGGCAGACATCATGTGAAGATTATGGAGCTCATTATGCAAGGGAGGTTTATCATGATTGGTCTGAAATTATGTGTTGATCAAGCATCACTATAAATGTTTTGATTAAATTACTAAATTGTGTTATTAGCTTGAGAACTTTATTCAAAAGAGACGCCATTTCTTTTAAAGACAAAATTAGTTGTAAAAGAAGGGCATTTCTTCAAATTTTTCCTCTAGTAACTAGAAGGTCATAGGTTAGACTTTTGTTTGGATTACTAAGATCCTTTCTTTTTCTTTATGAATTATAAACGAGTTTATTTAGCTCCCTTAAGCGACCACCCTCTATTGTTTTGCCATGTGGTTGCTTACAAGTGGTCATTCTCGTAATGACCAGGTCTAGTTTATGAAGAATTATATACCTGCCAACTCTCACGCCTTAGGGGTGAGTCTCACTCCTTAGGGGTGAGTTTCACGCCTGTGGGTTGAAAACTTCGATCTCACGCCGGCTCACACTTGCGGGCCAATTTCTCACGCCTGATTGAAAAATGTGAGTTGTTGCTGTCTTGCTTGACACAATTTCCAAAAATATGTTAACTCAGACCCATGTAAGGAATGAAAACCATGTGTAAAATGAATAAATGACAATACCTTCCTCGCGATCTCTGATTTTTGAAGTAAAAAGCACTGGGAGCGAGCTCGAGTTTATACGCGTCCTAAGACTGGGACTCGATAACAACGCCTTCAGCAGACTTCAGATGTCTTCGGAAGACTTCGGACGTCTCCGGAAGTCTTCGGACTTCTTCAGGAATCTTCGGAAATGATCGTGTCTCCTTCAAAAATCCCAGCACTCCCAGGATAAAAATCTCACGCTTATATCTCAGAAAAAGTTGGCAGGTATAGAATTATGCAGATCGAGGAGGGTGTTATCTAAAAAAAGTTGCAGTGCCAACTTCCCTCACCTGCAGCCAATGACTGAATTGCAGTGGAACCAGAGAGGTGAGATTGGACTTCAGCATGTAAAGGTGCACTTCTTGCAGCCACTTCAGTCCATGTTTTGATCACACGTCACCCACCCAGACCAATGACGGCACAAGTCAGATAGACCATGACATCAGGGCCTATGTCCCCTACTCTTTTTTATTAATGTCATGGGTTCTGTTACATCCCCTTCCAACTGGAGTACAAGGATGAAGGTGACAAGGCCAACGGCTTAAGGTCACTGCCCAATGACGTGATCATCTGAACTGAGAAAGGAGTTTCACAGCTAGCATGGTCTCACCAGTTTTTTTAAAGACCTTGGTTGATGGTCCAGCGGGGGTTTGAACTCACAACCTCCCGCTCAGCAGACCTGCACCCTTCCAACTGAGCTAATTGGGCGGTGGTATCCACTAGGTGGATAATACCCTCTGAGATCTGCATAATTCTTTATAGTCTACAAAAGCCAAATTCATTAATTGCATCATTATTCATTCAAAATAATTCCTAGTTTAACAACAAGCTAAAGCGTGCTTCCTTCGTCGATTTTAAGTTCACCTCATCAGTGCATGTTTAGAAGATAAAGGGCTGTTCAGGTTTGCAAATATACTCCAAATAGCAGATGTTGTCCGTCCAGTTGTCTTCTTGCTATGTTTTTACACAATACTTTGTCGTGAAACGAGTAAAATGTTCCGCCGATTGTTTAGCCATTTTTCTTTTCACAACCAAAACAACTCAGCCTCGTCCCCAGGTCTATAAACAGGCTAATGCACAAGGAGCTTGTTGTGCAGATTCTCTTCCATTAACCTCAGGTATTAACCTCAGGTATTAGCCTCAGGTATTGACTTCAGGTAATTATCTTCTTCCAGTAGTCTGTCAAACAAAATAGGGCTTTTCTTTTTCTTGAGTTTAGGCAATTTGACAAACGCAACTCTAGAATATTATGACATTTTGTTTATGTTTTCACTTACCTAGAGCTTAGGGAGTAGAGCTCTTGCGAGCTAATACACTCTCCATGAATTATTATGGGTAGGAGACACAGGGAATTATGAATCAAACCAGTATAAAATTTTTAACCTGTCTACAATTTTGACCTGTAACATATCTACATATCTGAACAAGTAATTTATGAAGCAGTTCCCTGAAAGCTAATTGTATTCCATCCTGTTTTTGACAAACATTTACTGCATCAGTAGTTAAGCAAGCTGGTCTGTGAACAGCAAGAACCCAACTCCTAGTGCCAGCAGCATTTTCCTTCATGTTGATGAATTCACTAGAGTTTCAGCAATTAAAACATTTTCATCTAACCCTCGGAATTATGCAGTTTTTCCTAAAATTGGGACAGTAAATAACAAGGTGCAATTTACTTAAAAAATAATATTTTGTACTTGCAGCCGACTTTCAAGTGGTGTAAGCTTCTTGAGAAAGATCAAGGAAAATGTCCAGAAAGTGCCTTCAAACTTTTGTTTTATTCTTCAGCATATGGATACTGCTGTTACCTACTATTTAGTGGCAAATATGACTTTTTTCATGACACAAGTACTTGCTGGAAAGGTAAACTTAACTGCTAATCTCATACCCAGATCTTTTATTGATGAAGCTGAAGGTGAGATCTGGTCTAATCAGATTTTGTACACGTTACTGCCTGTCAGGAATGTGACGGGCAATGAAAGAGTGGATGCTGAAGATAAATCCTCTATTTTCAACGGGTTGAACAACGAATTTGATAGAGCCATGATGTTTTTTCTGACAAACGGTGGTTATATGTACATCTTAAGTATGAACCAACTAATTTGTTGTTGTTTTTGGTCTTTTTAACATCGAATTCAACTCAACAGTTAGTTTGAATTTAATTATCATTTGATAGCGCGCACTTAACCCTCAAAGCAGTACGCGTCAAGAATTTTTTCTATCCCCTTCAAAATTCTGTATTGACACCGAGAGAGAGTTTTAAAAAGTCTTAAAAGATAAGATAAAAATGGTTTTACAAGATAAATTGAGACAGAAAACTACTTCATCAGTGAAAATATTTATTTTATCAGAACTAAAGACTTGGCAAAGAATGAAAAAACACACGCCAAAGTGCAGGCAGATAACAACACTCACACCATTCACTCACAATCTAACCAATCAAAAAAACTGACATGATACAACTTACTTTGACTCTGAAGATGACTACTGCATAGGTTGTTGAAACATCAGTCACTGTCAACAACAACAGTCCTATTCAGACCTACATTCACCTGGACTATCCAACTCAGCCTACTTTTGAAATGACTCCTGCACTGGGTTCAAACTTTTCACAATTTTTAAATTAATGATTTTTTTTTACGAACATTAAACAAATAACGATAGGCAGGACTAAGAGTCAGGGACCAGGGATTACTCCCGAGTATGATCCCACTGAGTATTTTCTTAGGTCAAAAAAGATTAAATAATAAAAATTTAAAAGAACCTCCTAGCTGTTAAAATCCTTGCCTCCCTAGTGCATAATTATACACAGCAACTTGAAATTAAGTGACTGGGTTGGTACCCAGGGTTTTCAAAAATAGCGGACAAATGGTGAAAATCACCACCTACTTGGTGGCCAGCTACTAGCTCAAGCGCTGTCAAATTTACTCTGACATTTTTGCGAAAGATGGCAAAATAAGACACCTGTTTTCACAATAACGCAGACCTGCATCAAAACCTTCAGGCAAACTTAAGGTGTAAAAAATTGTGTGGCCAAACAACACTGTAACATCAATTTTCTTTGAATCCTAGGATGGTACAAAGGAATGCCAGTAGCTCAAGATATTTACATACTCTATGCAGTAGAAGCTGGATTTTACTTTCATTCAGTGTATGCCACATTTTTTATGGACCAGTGGAGGAGAGATTCCATTCTTATGATTTTGCATCATGTTCTTACTATTTCACTCATTTCTTTCTCATTTGCAGTCAGGTAAGAACTTATGTATCACAAGAAATATACAGCTCAATTCCTTTAAGAGATCTGAACCTCTTCTGATAGCCATTTGTATTTCAGGAATTGTTTAACTATTTTTTATGAAACTAGTAGCTACACTACCATCCAGATACTGGTGGGTGAAAAGGAATGTAATTTAATTTGAAGAACAACTCCGATATTAAACCAACTGTCAGGCAACTGTCAGCCGACAGTTAACTGACATATTACTGACACCATCTGCATGAAGAACTGTTGAAAATGAAACACCTGAGACACAACTGACAGCGTGTCTCACCAAATAACCCTTTTACTATGAACTTACCCTCAAACTGTGAGGAAAATTGTCACAATGGAAGCAAATTAAACGAGCAAAACCACGTCCATACTACCAGAGAAAGCATGCTTTCATTTGCCCTATATAATGCATTGAGAAACTGCATTTAAAACTTGGGCTAGACTACCTGCCAGGATCTATAGTGCTCGCTCCCTGTTCCCTTACAAATCAAACATTTAGATGCAAATATGAAGCTGTTCAAGAAAACTGGTAAAAGTTTATTTTTCCTTTTTTCCTCATATTCAGGGGTACTTTCCATTCAACCCAAAATTCCGGAAATTTCTGTTGGTACATCAAAATGGAACGGGCCATTTTGGTTTGGTCTGACTGGAATATTTGGGACCCCAGCTTTGAAGGTAGTCCACTTTGACCAGACCGACCAAAATCAAATGTCCCTTTCCATTTGACAAAATTGTTCCCCAGTACCGCTCATTTGTATCCTATACTTACAAGAACAATAACCAAATGCATGGTGGCTTGGGTTGGGTCTGTGCAACCAGAATGTACCGTTCTATTACTGGGCATGTGAAATTTCCGAAATTTCAAGCCAGATTTTTTGTCGAATGGAAAGTGGCCTAGTTGTTGAATCTTTGGGAGGCAACTTTAAACCATAAGCCATTGTCATCCCTATGCATCAAAAGTACCCATGTCCCCAGAAAATTAAGGGATGTTGATCCCAGTGTCATTGTCCATCTGACTTTCAACAGCATTGGTCTGGGTCACTGAGTAAGGTGACATCAAGTATGTATGGACTGTACCTGGGTCAGAAACAAGTATAGTGTGCTTTTTAAATTGTGCTTTAGACAATTGGTAAATCTCATTTGTTTGGTTCCCCAGTAGTTCAGCCACTAGTCAGATGTGAGGGCGGAATTTTGTGGCACCATTCCTCCTACTTCCTTCCACATGTTGCAAACAATCAACTCAACTTTCACATGTACATGTAATCATTTTCTCAGAAAGAAATAATTTCTTGAATAAGGTTTACCATGGGGCCCGTTTAGTCAATTTCTGTTGTTGCAGACTAGTTTGTGACTCAAAATGTTTACTGTTTCTCTTTTCTCTCTTTTAGATACCACAGAATTGGTTTACTTGTCCTGTTTCTTCATGATGTCAATGATGTTTTTCTAGAATTCTCTAAACTCTGTGTTGCATTCAAATCCCGCAATGGAAAGTACCACCTCATACCAGATATTCTCAGTATTGTTGGCTTTACTGTCTTTGCATCATTGTGGTAGGCATGCATTTCTATTGTTTTTAACATAAAACAAAATTAAAGCGCATTACAGCTGTATGTGCACTGCTCATGCTTTTGTCTCTCTTTTAGGTTTTATTGTCGCCTGTACATTTACCCAATCAAAGTGCTTTTCTCTTGTGGTTTTGATTGCCGCTTGTATGTTCCCACTGCTCCATTTTACTTCTTCTTCAACACAATGTTGTGGATTTTATTTGCCATGAATGTTTGGTGGTTTCAGTACATTGTCTGGCTCCTGATTCGAATAGTTACGGGGATGAGTCGCAGTGTGGAAGACACACGAGAAATTCCAAAGACAAAAACAGCAAATGGTCAAAATATGGTAGAAAATGAAGACATGTCAAATGGTAGCAATAAAAACCATGGTTAGTACAAATATGCCCTTAACATGTTATTTTTTAAAACATTTTTTTTTATATTGCTACAATAGTACGCGTGCTCTGATTGGCTGCTGTGTGGGCATTTTTCTTGTAATGATGAAGCATTATTAGCTAGCTGTCCATGGCATATACAATCTGTGTTTAACTTGATAGTGGACATCCTTATGGACATTTATGTTATGGTCAATTGAGAGCTGTCAAAAAGGGTATCCACAGACCAGTGTCACATGAGTGTATTGGGGGCTCAAGTCTACAACTCATTGAGGTGACATCTTTTTTTGAAGTTATCCACTGGCCAGTTATTGTTTTTAATTGATCACAGGCTCAGGTCCATAATGAAAAGGCCATATTAAAATAAATAACTTATTAAACTTGTTAGTTCGGTCATTACAGGGAAGTCTCAGACCAAGGCCTTGATTTCCCTGTAATGACCTCACTCTCAGTTTATAATAAAAGGTATATATTATTATTATTATTATTATTATTATATAATTTCATATTGAATAATACAGCAGCACATACAGGCAGAATGATCATAATTCCTGTGCAATTTTTGCAAGCATCTTTCATGTCAATGTCAACATGTCTGTGACTGTTACCTGCAAAACATCAGTCTGCTGACAAACAGTCCTTTTTAAAATTTAAAAATGAAAATTTAGGACCAGACGTACCCATCCACTAATATGATGTGACGTTTGGCTTGAATCAATTTTTCCTTCCATTTTCAAAAGTGGTTATGATGCATAGTCACCTTGAAAAAACTTATGAGCTTAATGCTCAGTCAAATGAGTGACAATGCTGCCACTGAATTTTAACCACATGAAAGATCACATGATCAGACCCCACCAAGGACTGAGGAGTTTACTTCCTTTTTGTATCATACTTGAGGGTGGCTTGTTAACAACTGAGGCAAAAACTTATACATGTGCTTCTGTATTGGGCGCAATCAAAGTTCTGCAGGCACTTCTTTAACCTGACCAGGCATTTTAAATACATGTAGGCACTAAACAACAAGTGTCTACAGAACCTAGATGGATGGACTGATAGAACAACCCTTAACACTAGGTTTTTAATGGTTTTAAAGAACCACCTGTAAACTCCGGCGGCTGTCAATAAGGGCCAGTAGCCGGCAAAAAGCGCCGGCTTCTTTCATCTCCTTCTACCATAACTGCTAACAAAAAATTAAAATATTGTTAAGCATCTGTTTCCCAGTTTTACATGACAGTGAACGCATATTTAAACAGGTGTAGATCTATGAAACATTCTAACCGTGTGATGTCTTGGTATGCCTGGCACATTTAGACAGCATTGTTCCCAGTCTTGCATGTATTCTGACAAAATAATATGGTATCTTCGGTGGAAATATCCCTTGAAAACCCCTCGAAACACCATTTCCAAGACTCTAAATTCAAAATGTCCCTAGATGCCTCAGTCCTTAAGAACTTGTGCCTTTGGTGTGAGTTTAAAGCCACCTACTATTCAGTATCAGCCTGCCAGTTAAAAACGTTTTGGCAGCCGTAGACTCCCAGTCCTTTTAGGGTGAGGCTGGGACCAGTTCAAATGATGCTTTAAGGCTGCCCTACTGTGGAAAAAATAGTCACAAACTGTGAGGAAAAAAGAAACGTGGTCACAAACTATTTGAAGTGTTGTATTAATTTGAACATGATCCACGTGAGGAAAGAATGACTCTTCTATGCACAATGTAGTGAAGAGTAACATTTTCTGTATACATGTACTTTTTTTACTTTTCAGTTATAACCAGCAGTAACAAAAAGGATGCAGACACCAAAAGAATGAATTATGCTGACCATTTTGTGGGACAAGATGCTAATGAGGCAAAGATACAAAATCGTCGGAGAAAGCCACGTACTAAACCAGCTAACCCGTAAACAATGAAATGATCCAAAATCAAGATATCCTGCAAGTCACTTAAGTATAATTACAAGACCCAGATTGAAAAAATTTACCCTAAATCTGTTCACTATCCTTGTTTTTTTTTTGTTAAAGCTCTGCACGTTTTGTCATTATTTATACACATTAATTTAAGTTTAGTTTCCCTTTTTCCTTTGTGAATATTATTAATGGATTCATGAATGGAATTTAATATAATATATTTAGGAGAATATTGTATATAACAGTATTAAAAGTGCTTGTCAACATACACACACACAGAAGGGGGTCCTCAGATTTAACTTACAGTTTGTGATGGAAAATTACAAAAGGAACTAAGTTGTCACCCCCCCCCCCTCCCCTGTCCCCTCAAAAGAGGCCCCTTTGTTTGTCTAAAACCAAATCTCCCATAAAGTCCTACACAGTTCAGGGAATAACAAAAAACTAACTCTTCATTCTCTGCATGAAATCAAGCTTCAACCAAGATGAGTAATTACACAATTTCACACTCACTAAAATCCACAGAATACCAGTTTCAAGTTCAAAATCTTGCAAAGTGGCATTTAATACCCAAGTACCCTCATCCCAATCATTCTTACTTGACAATATAATGACCTTTCACTACAAGACACTACAAATTGTTGGTTATTAGCTGAAAAAATGCTCCAGAATTGCATTTTTCAGTGTCTCTCATGGCAAGAGAAAGGAGAGAGGAAGTGGTTTCCTCTCATTTACACTTAGCTCTGCTGGCAGGAAAAGAATACTTTTACTCATATTGTTGTCTGTTATTTTTTTTGTAGAATCTTCCTCTATTCATACATTTTGTGAATTTGATAAAAGAACTTGGAGATTTTTGTATACCCATATTTCCAGTTCTTAATTTATTTTTTGGCATTTAGTCAGATTGAATTATTTATGCATAATTTGTAGACTTATTGAAATAAAATCTTTTAGATTTTGGACATAATTAATAAATTTAACACAACAATGTGTCAGAATTCAAATGCATAGAAGTGGGTAAAGAGACAAAGCACAGCTCAGTTAGTAATAAATTTAGAAGGACGAACCAGGGTGAAATTCTGTGTCTAGCCTATAGAACAGTAATACTCATTGAAATTCAAGGCAAAAATTTAACCGTCATTAAAGTCTGCGTTTCAAATCTCTTTGAGGCCGGTGAGTTACTTTCCATTCATTCCTTTCTCTTTTGTTTCAACACTTGATTTTAAACCCTTAGGGAAACCTTGGAATAATGCCTAGGGTGGGTCCCCCCCTTACATTCGGGTGGAGGTGTTCGGGATGCTTCCGTGCCTATGCCATCCGGGGGGACCAACAGGCATCCATGCATTGGGTGAGTCCCCCTGAAACATTCTTTTGAGGATATTTGGGATGGTTCCTAGCAACTTCAATTTTGTGCCTGTTCTATCATCGGAGACCCAAGGGCAGCTAATAGGGACGACGAGATATTCACAAGCGGAAGTTTACTACAAGAACAGAAGAACGTAGCTTTGGCTGTGAGGAAGACTCATTTTAAAACAGAACTGAATGTAAGGCTGGCAATAAGGCAAAGGGCTGACTTATTTGAGGCCAATATTTCAGCTAACAAAATTAGCCTTCCTCATAGGAACCAGGCTCCGCAGTGGAAGCGGGGGGGGGGAAGGAGCCTGCGGTCCCAGGCCTCCTTCCTCGGGGCCATGGCCAGAGCTGCACCGAAAAAGAATGCTACAAGGGCTCCTAAAATTTGAATTTAAATTGACATGAGAGGTTAATGATAAACTAAAAATGAGAACCATAGATAGCATGATAGGCTAATTTTGTTTTAGCCGATACTGAATGGTCTTAAATAGAGGAACCACGGTCTGTATTATTTACGCGTTGAGTGTACCTCTGCATTCAAAGGTTATTCTGACATTCTTATAATTATATCCCGTATGTCCTGTTGGCGTCACCTCAGTCGCCGAGGTTGAGCCTGTTCCAGGATCTCTGTTAAGCTACGTACAAACGGACGCAACATTTCTGGGAGTTGTTGCGTCCTTTTGCACGTAGCTAAAAGTTTGACCGGTTTCAAATTTTGCGCAACAACTACCAACAACTCGCAACGACATGCAACAGGGTGTGCAAACGAACACAACATGATGTAACATCCAGCAATGTTGCGGCCGTTTGCACGGGGCCTTAGTGGTGACGGGCGACTGAAAAAAAAAGAGCGTAGAGCAGAAAAAAGATAGAGAGGGAGAGTAAGAGACGGAAGGGGGAGGAAGAAAAAAAAATATCCTTATCATCTCCCTTCTCAGCTCAACTCTTTGCCTTTGTAACTTTCACACCAAAAAAATCGCCGATGATGAATTTGCGGGTACAAATGACCATGAAATCGCCCCAATTTACAGGCACGAACAAAACTCGCAGAAAAAAAGAGCCGACAACGATCTACTGTGTCAGTTTCAACTAACTCCTGACAACTGCATCTGTTACCTGGAGTAACAACTATCATTCACTTTTAGTTTCTTCATTTTTTCGACTGCTGGTGGGGCTAAGGAAACACCAGAAACCGTATCATAAAGACTTCTGTCTTAGGCCATCGTCGCTTAATAAAAATAAAACAAAAACAACGGCTCACAATGTTTATCACCGCTGTTTGTGTCGTGTTGTGTATTATTTTTGATTAATCACCAGAAATTTTTTCTACAATAGTATCAAAAACACTCATAGCCTGAAACCTAGGGACGTTTCGCAGAGGAGAAGTTTCAATACTGTGAAAAGTCCCTTGCGTCGAGGAGCGAGGACAGACGGTTGTATTCGTAGGATTAGAAAACTTATCTATTAAATGAAAGAACTTTTGGAAGACATATTTATGGTTCAATAAGAATTAGGGCGAGGTCACGTGAGAGGTCACGCGCACGCGAAAGTCACGGTGACCTGAGGTCAGGCCCAATTTTAGTAACATTCACAAGCTGTGATCACATGTACGGTATCACTTATAAAATTTACTTATTTTGATTCTTGTCTTGTTTTCTTTGATTTTGATATTTTATATTTGATTAAAGAGAAAAATATTTTTGGTTTTAGTGTTTGATTTCTCAACTGCATTTTTGATTTCCAAAATTTCCGCGTTTGATTCTTTCAGTACATGTTTGATTGTCAAAATGAGGTCGTTTGATTTCTCAAATGACACTTTTGATTTCCCAAACTTGTCTCGTTTGATTCTTTTGATTTCCAAAATTTGTCGCGTTTGATTTATCAAATGGCACTTTTGATTTCCGAAACTTGGCTCGTTTGATTTTTCAAATGGCTAGCCTGCGTAGCAGGCGTCGAAAGGGGTAGGCCAGGGAGAAAGGGAAAAAGGGAGGGGGATTGGGGAGAGAGGGGAAGCTCCCTTCCCTTTCCCCTCTTTCGTTCTTTTCTCCCTCCCCCTCCCCTTTTTGCGCCTGCCACGCAGGCTATCAAATGGCGTTTTTTATTTTCAACATGAGACTGATATGGATCTTATCCACGTGACATTTTCTGTGGGTGGTAAGCCCTACTGTCCCGAAAAGCGCTCGAAAATTCAAACGAAATGTGCTCATGCCCCCTGGGTATCCTATAATACTCCTTCAATCGAATTAATTCAATATGGCCGCCGTATCGGTAAAAAGGTCTATTGACTGAGTGTCCCACTGTCACGTGAATATCATCCGTATCTGTCTCATTTAAATGTCATTTGAGAAATCAAACGCGACAAATTTTGGAAATCAAAAGTGTCATTTGAGAAATCAAACGCGACAAACTTTGGAAATCCAACGCGTCAAATTTTGGAAATCAAAAATGCATTTGAGAAATCAAACGCGACAAACTTTAAAAATCAATATGACACAATAAATACCNGTGAGAGGTCACGCGCACGCGAAAGTCACGGTGACCTGAGGTCAGGCCCAATTTTAGTAACATTCACAAGCTGTGATCACATGTACGGTATCACTTATAAAATTTACTTATTTTGATTCTTGTCTTGTTTTCTTTGATTTTGATATTTTATATTTGATTAAAGAGAAAAATATTTTTGATTTTAGTGTTTGATTTCTCAACTGCATTTTTGATTTCCAAAATTTCCGCGTTTGATTCTTTCAGTACATGTTTGATTGTCAAAATGAGGTCGTTTGATTTCTCAAATGACACTTTTGATTTCCCAAACTTGTCTCGTTTGATTCTTTTGATTTCCAAAATTTGTCGCGTTTGATTTATCAAATGGCACTTTTGATTTCCGAAACTTGGCTCGTTTGATTTTTCAAATGGCTAGCCTGCGTAGCAGGCGTCGAAAGGGGTAGGCCAGGGAGAAAGGGAAAAAGGGAGGGGGATTGGGGAGAGAGGGGAAGCTCCCTTCCCTTTCCCCTCTTTCGTTCTTTTCTCCCTCCCCCTCCCCTTTTTGCGCCTGCCACGCAGGCTATCAAATGGCGTTTTTTATTTTCAACATGAGACTGATATGGATCTTATCCACGTGACATTTTCTGTGGGTGGTAAGCCCTACTGTCCCGAAAAGCGCTCGAAAATTCAAACGAAATGTGCTCATGCCCCCTGGGTATCCTATAATACTCCTTCAATCGAATTAATTCAATATGGCCGCCGTATCGGTAAAAAGGTCTATTGACTGAGTGTCCCACTGTCACGTGAATATCATCCGTATCTGTCTCATTTAAATGTCATTTGAGAAATCAAACGCGATAAATTTTGGAAATCAAAAGTGTCATTTGAGAAATCAAACGCGACAAACTTTGGAAATCCAACGCGTCAAATTTTGGAAATCAAAAATGCATTTGAGAAATCAAACGCGACAAACTTTAAAAATCAATATGACACAATAAATACCAAAAGGATTTTTCCTTTTAATCAAAAACAAGATATCAACATCATAGAGGACAAGAAAAGAATCAGACATCGTAAATTTTATTTGTGATACTCCTCGAACACGGTACACATGGGCGTACGGCAGTGTAGCATAGTCAGCGATTTGGCGCTTCAGTGTGACTACAAGTATCACTTGAAACAGGGCAAACAAAATACGGCAAACGTTTGGTACAGAAAAAAAAACATTTTTCAATACTTTTTAGTTTATATCACGTTCATAACTTCCTTCTTCCTTTTAATTCCCCCCTCCCCCCCTCCCCCCCACCCATCCCCGAGAAGAAACGTTTTTTACCTATTGGCTGGTTTCAATTTATTCATACTGCTGCCCCGTCAGGTGCTGCGATAAACGTATTTCTGGTATAAAATACTTTCCAAGCAACAATCCAAGCAGTATTCTTTCGCTCCGGTCTCTTTCTTCTTTAAAGCGCTTTTTAAGTCACGTGACGAGGGTTATGCTGAACCTGAGCCTCCCCTCCCATAAGGCATTCCGCTCCTTTGTGCAAAAAGGTGGTTCCAAAATGGCGGTAGGATTCTTCGAAGCCTTCATGAAAATATGGGACCATTGTTTTATTGAATGGGAGGAACGAGGCCCAAACGAAACATTTCTAACAGATTTCTTTAAGGAGCTCTCCATCTATGGCTTTATATCAGTTAATGACATTCTTCTATGTCTGTGTCTTGGTGTTTTGATCACGATCTTGCGTTATTTCTTGACGGTAGCTGTCTTCAAGGTGGGTGAGCGTTTTTTGCAAGATTAATTAAGCTTATTTTTATTGCAAGTTTTACTGAGAGATGGGCTGCCACTAGTCCATGTCATTAAAAATTTACGCCGGTTTGGTCTATATTTGTGTTACGAGCGGGATTCGTTTGGTTTTAGTGAAAGTAAACTACACGGGTTTTGCACGCAAACAAGCGAGCAAAGATCGTCACAATGTGCAGGGAGATCAGCGACCCGTTTCGACTTATTTTGTTTTGTTGTTAATCGTAAACCCATTGTGGAAATAGTTTACTTGAACCACGAAAACCGAACTACTCCTACACTGAAGTCATCAATTGCTATTTACTGTTACTAAAACTTCAGTTGTATGTTCAGAGGTCATGCACTCCTCCGCTTCCATTCTAGATTTATAAATCGCACTATCACTTGCAAATTTTGTGTTGGAAGTATTTTTAACAGTCTTTGCCTTATTTATGTTTTTAGAGGTCTTCTCGGCTTGCAAATTTGATCTTCCAGTAAGCTTATAGAGTTTTAAGTTGTGTTTTGTGAATATGTTAATAGTATTTTTAATTCATTTTACTAGTTTGCGAAATCAACCTGTCGGCTTCTTGACATATTATAATATTTCAGCGCTGGTGTTGTTAACGTTAAAACGCACATAGTTCTAGTTTTTCAATTCAAGCAAAATGCTGCTTATAGGTTCACTGAATTGGGTTTGAGTATGTTTCATTGGGACGTCGAGTCTTTGTGAAATGTTTAGAATTTTTCAGTTTAATTTGTTTACGTTGTGTGATGTTGGCCCACGTGTGTTTTATGGAAATGTTTTGATAAGTTATTCAGTTTTAAAAAGTTCAAAACAAGCAACTCCTTTCTGGAAATACGTGTTTGACTGTAGAAGAATTCAGCCCATGTTTAATAGTTAATCCTCTCTGTTCCCTCTAGATAGCATTCGTTCATTGGTAATAATCATCGATAATCTTGTTCAAAGCTGCAAAATGATCAATAGCTTTGTTCTCCTCTCTTGATGTTATTTTCATGTGCAGATCAATAAAAATGAGAAGTCGAATATGACTCTACCATACCATGCAGACTTGCCAACCTCCAAAAGGCAAAAAATGTGAGACTCTGAGCCTTATAGAGCTGGAAAAAGTAGAGAGAAATGGGTAAAAAGCCATAAGATGTCCCAAATTTTCTGTTGGAAGGCCTTTCACTAGAGAATATGGGTATTGGAAGTCACATATCACTTTAAAGCTGGAGTAGCAAACATCATGATCAATTTTACTAATTAGGTTTTGTAATTTCTATGTTTTGTTAGTGGCCATCTTGAGAGAAACAGCTTCACATTTGGTGGCAGCAGCAAGTAGCGTAAGGCTAGAAGAATGCAATCAAACGTGACTGCTAATTAAGCATTTTCTTTGGATTGAGCTGGCTATCTATTGATATCTAACTAGGAAACGAACCCTATAACTCCAAACTTTTTTGGAGAAATCATTTGCCAACTCGTGAGAACACGAGATAGGTCGTGAAATTGTGAGTCTCTGCGAGACTTGGCAATTCTGATAACAGCGCCACCCAAATCAAAGTTATAGTTAAAGACATAATTGATCAAATACTATAGCTTAAACATGTAGGCTACAGCTACTGAAACGCTAACACCTTATCGCCTCCATGTTAAACAAACGACATTGTCCACCCCAATTATAATTGATTGTTACTGAAAACCTGCAATAATTATAGAACAGGTTCAATAGATTATTATGGGAAAATATAAAGAAATACTTGTCACCAAAAACTTCTATGTTGTTTTAAACCATATTTGATGACTCTTTGCTGATAGATTAATTTTCATATTGTATGTTTTTGTCTTGTTTTATAACCAGGGTACAAGTCACGTTTACAACTTGTCTGTCAGGCAGGCTGTAGCTAACATGTACCAGCCCAAGAGTCATTTAAACTAGCCCAAAAAACATTTTTGAAGCGTAGGATTGATTATGGTTCGTCAATCTGTAATTTGAATACCTTCCAAAAACTTCACTCTCCTATCAGGCAATTTCAGAACAGAATTCACTAAGCCCCAGGCTATCAGACACGACTTTCTTTGCTTACTCGTGATAACATGGCACATCAGACCTGCTTAATTCAGTAGTAGTCCACAGTCAGAAGCACAAAAGATTAATATATATTTTTTGACTTGTATTCAGGTGAAACGTAAATGGAAGTGGTATAAAGAAATTTTTCCCATTGTAATTGACGATTGATTGGTTGGGGTCAATCCAAGTACTTCTGATCATTGATTATGAAATCTCAGCTGATTCCTAGCACTACTCAGTTGGGTATCTTTTAGTTCAGATAACTTGAAAGAGAAAACATTTGTTTTAAGAGCATTTATCTGTTGTACTTGCGATATACAAATAATAAATTATATAGAAATTTAAGCTACATGTGTAAATGATGTGTGCAATATTGTTTCAAATTAGCTCACCGGTAAACTAATACTTTGATTGAACACATTAGCAATCAATATAGCCAGATTCTCCTGAGCCAATTTATGGTTGGCATGGTTATTATAATAATAATAGCTCTTCATTTTGCTTGTACAAAAAAAAATTCTGCACCTTCTAGCCTGTGAATGTCAGAACATGTTTTGCATTGATGGAGCTAGTTACATTCATGGAGTCACTAGTAAATGTCTTCGTGGTTGGAAATTTATTTTTAGTTTCAATTTTATCAGTGGATATTAGGAAATTCACATGTATGACTTTAAAGTTGTAATCAGGATTTTTTTAATTATTATTAATTTTATTACACCTTTGCACTGCATTTGGCCAGAGGTTATTCCTTGTTTTTTTTTTTTGCAGGGGAGAATAGTAATCTTCCAGGGAGACAGTGTTTCTACTAAAATTTCTGTAGCTCAAAGTTTAATATTTTATTACTGGAACAAATTTTACTTTGTTTGCAGCTATTATTTGTACCTTTTTTTCATTGAGAGAAACAGTGGTTAAATCAGTCGCCTTAAAAAGTGTTTTCCAACTTTGCCAAAAAAAATATTCTCTCTTTGAGTACTATTGCACATAAAGATTTTTGTTATGCCCCTAGTGACACACACACCCTTGTCACGGTATTAGGTTTCAGTTAGTTTTGTTATAATGTTACTTCAATCCAGTTACACATCAGGTTTCTGGTGGTCATGAAGGTTGTTGGTTTGTTCAGATAGCTAGCGTCAGTAAGCTTTCCATTGAAGGATTTACATGTAGGTATCTGCAGTTTAACTGGAACAGGCTTCATGTACATTGTATGTCACTTGCTTGTGAGACACCCCATGAAGGTATCCATCTGGTAACCTTAAGTGAGTATCTTGTACAGGTTTAAGTACATATTTTAACAGCGTCATTCTTGCTTTTGAATTGCAGCCTTTTTTCAAGTGGTGTAAACTCCTTGAGAAAGAGCAGAAGAAGTGTCCCGAGAGTGCCTTCAAGCTTATATTTTACTCTTCTGCATATGCATATTGCTCGTATATTTTGTTTGGCGGGAAATATGATTTATTTCATGACACAAATAATTGTTGGAAAGGTGAGTTTATAGAGTTTTTTTTTCACTATAGTAAACCTGATAGGGAAGGTCAATTTTAAGGCTTATGGTTCCTTTTCTCTTAGTATACAAAATAAAGACATGCAATATATAAAATAATATTACTAACTTGAGTATTGTGATTTGAGTTCTTATAGGTTCACTGAATTGGGTTTGAGTATGTTTCATTGGGACGTCGAGTCTTTGTGAAATGTTTAGAATTTTTCAGTTTAATTTGTTTACGTTGTGTGATGTTGGCCCACGTGTGTTTTATGGAAATGTTTTGATAAGTTATTCAGTTTTAAAAAGTTCAAAACAAGCAACTCCTTTCTGGAAATACGTGTTTGACTGTAGAAGAATTCAGCCCATGTTTAATAGTTAATCCTCTCTGTTCCCTCTAGATAGCATTCGTTCATTGGTAATAATCATCGATAATCTTGTTCAAAGCTGCAAAATGATCAATAGCTTTGTTCTCCTCTCTTGATGTTATTTTCATGTGCAGATCAATAAAAATGAGAAGTCGAATATGACTCTACCATACCATGCAGACTTGCCAACCTCCAAAAGGCAAAAAATGTGAGACTCTGAGCCTTATAGAGCTGGAAAAAGTAGAGAGAAATGGGTAAAAAGCCATAAGATGTCCCAAATTTTCTGTTGGAAGGCCTTTCACTAGAGAATATGGGTATTGGAAGTCACATATCACTTTAAAGCTGGAGTAGCAAACATCATGATCAATTTTACTAATTAGGTTTTGTAATTTCTATGTTTTGTTAGTGGCCATCTTGAGAGAAACAGCTTCACATTTGGTGGCAGCAGCAAGTAGCGTAAGGCTAGAAGAATGCAATCAAACGTGACTGCTAATTAAGCATTTTCTTTGGATTGAGCTGGCTATCTATTGATATCTAACTAGGAAACGAACCCTATAACTCCAAACTTTTTTGGAGAAATCATTTGCCAACTCGTGAGAACACGAGATAGGTCGTGAAATTGTGAGTCTCTGCGAGACTTGGCAATTCTGATAACAGCGCCACCCAAATCAAAGTTATAGTTAAAGACATAATTGATCAAATACTATAGCTTAAACATGTAGGCTACAGATACTGAAACGCTAACACCTTATCGCCTCCATGTTAAACAAACGACATTGTCCACCCCGATTATAATTGATTGTTACTGAAAACCTGCAATAATTATAGAACAGGTTCAATAGATTATTATGGGAAAATATAAAGAAATACTTGTCACCAAAAACTTCTATGTTGTTTTAAACCATATTTGATGACTCTTTGCTGATAGATTAATTTTCATATTGTATGTTTTTGTCTTGTTTTATAACCAGGGTACAAGTCACGTTTACAACTTGTCTGTCAGGCAGGCTGTAGCTAACATGTACCAGCCCAAGAGTCATTTAAACTAGCCCAAAAAACATTTTTGAAGCGTAGGATTGATTATGGTTCGTCAATCTGTAATTTGAATACCTTCCAAAAACTTCACTCTCCTATCAGGCAATTTCAGAACAGAATTCACTAAGCCCCAGGCTATCAGACACGACTTTCTTTGCTTACTCGTGATAACATGGCACATCAGACCTGCTTAATTCAGTAGTAGTCCACAGTCAGAAGCACAAAAGGTTAATATATATTTTTTGACGTGTATTCAGGTGAAACGTAAATGGAAATGGTATAAAGACATTTTTCCCATTGTAATTGATGATGGATTGGTTGGGGTCAATCCAAGTACTTCTGATCATTGATTATGAAATCTCAGCTGATTCCTAGCACTACTCAGTTGGGTATCTTTTAGTTCAGATAACCTGAAAGAGAAAACATTTGTTTTAAGAGCATTTATCTGTTGTACTTGCAATATACAAAGAATAAATTATATAGAAATTTAAGCTACATGTGTAAATGATGTGTGCAATATTGTTTCAAATTAGTTTACTGGTAAACTAATACTTTGATTGACCACATTAGCAATCAATATAGCCAGATTCTCCTGAGCCAATTTATGGTTGGCATGGTTTTTATAATAATAATATATAGCTCTTCATTTTGCTTGTACAAAAAAAAATTCTGCACCTTCTAGCCTGTGAATGTCAGAACATGTTTTGCATTGATGGAGCTAGTTACATTCATGGAGTCACTAGTAAATGTCTTCGTGGTTGGAAATNTTTTTTGACGTGTATTCAGGTGAAACGTAAATGGAAATGGTATAAAGACATTTTTCCCATTGTAATTGATGATGGATTGGTTGGGGTCAATCCAAGTACTTCTGATCATTGATTATGAAATCTCAGCTGATTCCTAGCACTACTCAGTTGGGTATCTTTTAGTTCAGATAACCTGAAAGAGAAAACATTTGTTTTAAGAGCATTTATCTGTTGTACTTGCAATATACAAAGAATAAATTATATAGAAATTTAAGCTACATGTGTAAATGATGTGTGCAATATTGTTTCAAATTAGTTTACTGGTAAACTAATACTTTGATTGACCACATTAGCAATCAATATAGCCAGATTCTCCTGAGCCAATTTATGGTTGGCATGGTTTTTATAATAATAATATATAGCTCTTCATTTTGCTTGTACAAAAAAAAATTCTGCACCTTCTAGCCTGTGAATGTCAGAACATGTTTTGCATTGATGGAGCTAGTTACATTCATGGAGTCACTAGTAAATGTCTTCGTGGTTGGAAATTTATTTTTAGTTTCAATTTTATCAGTGGATATGAGGAAATTCAAATGTATGACTTTAAACTTGTGATCAGGATTTTTTTAATTATTATTTATTACACCTTTGCACTGCATTTGGCCAGAGGTTTTTCCTTTTTTTTTGGCAGGGGAGAATAGTAATCTTCCAGGGGAGACAGTGTTTCTACTGAAATTTCTGTAGCTCAAAGTTTAATATTTTATTACTGGAACATATTTTACTTTGTTTGCAGCTATTATTTGTACCTTTTTTTCATTGAGAGAAACAATGGTTAAATCAGTCGCCTTAAAAAGTGTTTTCCAACTTTGCCAAAAAAATATTCTCTCTTTGAGTACTATTGCACATAAAGATTTTTGTTATGCCCCTTGTGACACACACACCCTTGTCACTGTATTAGGTTTCAGTTAGTTTTGTTATAATGTTACTTCAATTCAGTTACACATCAGGTTTCTGGTAGTCATGAAGGTTGTTGGTTTGTTCAGATAGCTAGCATCAGTAAGCTTTCCATTGAAGGATTTACATGTAGGTATCTGCAGTTTAACTGGAACAGGCTTCATGTACATTGTATGTCACTCGCTTGTGAGACACCCCATGAAGGTATTCATCTGGTAACCTTAAGTGAGTATCTTGTACAGGTTTAAGTACATAATTATTTTAACAGCATCATTCTTGCTTTGGAATTGCAGCCTTTTTTCAAGTGGTGTAAACTCCTTGAGAAAGAGCAGAAGAAGTGTCCTGAGAGTGCCTTCAAGCTTATATTTTACTCTTCTGCATATGCATATTGCTCGTATATTTTGTTTGGCGGGAAATATGATTTATTTCATGACACAAACAATTGTTGGAAAGGTGAGTTTATAGAGTTTTTTTTCACTATCCGTAAAATATCCCTATCAGTAAACCTGATAGGGAAGGTCAATTTTAAGGCTTATGGTTCCTTTTCTCTTAGTATACAAAATAAAGACATGCAATATATAAAATAATATTACTAACTTGAGTATTGTGATTTGAGTGAGAAGAGCCCTTTTGAAAGGGATGGCCCAATTAAGATTAAGGTGGAATGTGCATTTGTATCACAGCATATACATTTTGTTTTACTTTTATTTAAGTGTCACATTGCTTAAAAGTATTGCAAAAAATTAAATTTGTATGTCTTTTCTTTCAACTTAGGATGGTACAAAGGGATGCCAATTCCTCAAGATATTTACACACTTTATGTAGTAGAAGCAGGATTTTATTTTCATTCAATATATGCCACATTCTTTATGGATCAGTGGAGAAGAGATTCCCATCTTATGATCATGCATCACATTTTAACTAATGCACTCATATTTTTCTCATTTGCTGTCAGGTAAGATGCGTGTTTATTCATCTGTAATTTAACAGACTAAAAATGGTAAATAAATGCTTTGTGAGTGGCGGGTGGTTTTACCGCAAAGTTTTCAATATCATGGTATCATAGTCTGTAAGAGTCCAGACAATGGAAAATTGAAAAGGTGCTTTGAGTGTTCTCTTTTCTTTCTCAAGAAAATACTAGGTTATACACATAGAAAGTTTAGTACCCCATCATCAGAAGTCATGTACAACAGTTGTTGGACTTTTTCCAGTCACTTCTGTTAATTAAATTTTGTATCTTACAGTATGACTTTCAATTTGTTATTTAAGTCTCAAAGGACCATTCATGGCAAAGTCGCTTGAAAATCACATGCAAGAGATGAGAGAAAAGCAAATTTCACTGTCCAATTTTTTATATATACTAATATTTTGTATACTGTCATAGACCAAAGCCCTCGAACAGTGAGTATGCAGGAAATCAGCCACTCAGTTGTAAAAAAATAATATTATTGTAGCATGATTTAATTTTTAGGTCCCTCATTCTATTCATGTGTTCTTTCTGTCATTTCAGATACCACAGAATTGGACTGGTAGTGTTGTTTCTTCATGATCTCAATGATGTTTTCCTAGAATTTTCAAAACTCTGTGTGGCCTTCAAAACACGCAATGGAAAGTACTGTCGCACATCAGATATACTTAGTGCTGTTGGTTTTGTTTCATTTGTTTCATCATGGTAAGCCTTAGTTTCGATGTATGGAAGAAATACCTGCGACTGCAACAAAAGAGAATAAAGAAAGACAAAAAAAGAGAACACTTTAGATAAAATAAAATGTTCTTAAAGTTCATAGCTGTTTATTGATCAGGTGATCAGCTGTTAATTGTTAAAGTTGAGTTCCATAGCAAGTTAGGACATGTTAATGGTGATGTCAACAAAATGAACTAAACAGCCATTACACGGCACCTGTACATGTAATTATTCTAACAATACATTGATTCTAAAAAAACCCAAGAAGGTGTTTTAATTCTGCCTGTATGTCCTTATTTACCTAATTTATTTATTTTCAGGTTTTATTGCCGTCTCTACCTTTACCCAATAAAAGTGCTGTACCCTTGTGGCTGTGGTGGCCGTCCATATGTTCCTACAGCTCCGTTTTACTTCTTTTTTAATCCCATGTTGTGGATGTTATTTGGCATGAATTTATGGTGGTTTCAGTACATGGTCTGGCTCTTGGTTCGAATAGTAACAGGGATTAGTCATGGTGTAGAAGACACACGAGAAATTCCAAAAAGCACAACAACCAATGGAAAGCTAGTAGAAAATGGTGATGTTTCAGTGGGCAATGACATTCATGGTAAGGTCATAAAAAATATGTACAGTGTATTACAGAAAAAATATTTTTCAACACCAACAATTTGCTAACAGTTTAGAAGAGCTTTCGGAATCCGTCCGGGGCCCTTTTTCAGTGATGATGTTAGTTGTTAAGCTCTGCTAACCTTACAGCAAATTGTTGGTGTTAAAGAATAATTATTTGTTTCTGTAATATGATGTCCCAACAGCAGAATCTTCACCCGGCCATATACAGTGTATCTTAGTCCCAACTTTTCCTCCTTTCAAGGGCATGAAATTATTCTTTCCATATTGATATTGGATTCTGGTAGATATTCTGACAAATTCCGAGCATGAGAAAGATGGTTTTTTAATCACTGACACAGACACCTTGGAAAAAAAATCCAAATTCTTCAAATATACATGTAATAATAATAATAATAATAATGGAATTTATATAGCGCTTATACATCGCTGTTCTAAGCTCTTTACAATGTAGCCTGCGTAGTAAGCGTTTCCTCGCGAGGTTCGTCCAGAAAGCTGGGAAGAGAGCAAAAAAAACTGAATGACAGGGGAGGGGAAGGGGAAAGAAGGAACTGCTTGCCCGCAAACCCCACGATTTTGAAAAACTGTGTTCGCCCACGAACGCAGCTTCTGATTGGCACGGTGCAGGTAGTGTTGATTACTTAGCATTCGAAACATCAATCAAACCAGGTATGCTTTGTTTTCGTGTGTCACAGTTCTGGTCTCATCTGATTTGTGGTCGCAGATTACAAATGCTTTGGACTGATATTTATTTGAATCGTGTTTGTGTGAAGGTTTATGAGATCAGAGTCTTCAAAGTATAATTGGAGATCGAGCAGTGGAGACTAGGGAAGGCCAATTTATTGAGAATGACGGCGTGCGGATCTGACTGGAAAAAATGGACTGTTTGTTGGAGATAACATCAACATAAATCAGAACATCGGTACTTGACACTAGCTAAAGCCGCCATGGACAAGCGATTTGTCAGCTTTTAGAAATGAAAAGATTCTTTTTGTTTATTGGAAATTTAGCAGCATCTATTGTAGACAACGTTTCGACACAGGCTGAATAGCAGCCGCTCTGCAAAACTTATACCCGGCTGAGTGAATTGTTCCGGACAAATCATTGACATGTCGACAAGGTTTCAGAAAGGTTTCAAGAAATTCCACAGCAATCACTCAAAGTTTTAACTTTCTTTTATCGTAAATCTTTAATTTTTATTACAGTTCTTGCAATCGCCTGCAACGTGTTCTATTAGAGAACAAAGTAATTTTCAAATCTGGTAATCCAGGGGTAATCTGTTCGTTATGTTTCTATTTTGACGAGCTGTCAATTTACAAATGAACCGAACCGTGAAACATCAAGGGGCGTTTTCCAGAATCGTGGGGTCTGCGGGCAAGGGTTTCCTCTTCTCCCCTCCCCCTCCCCCTTCAACCTTTTTTTTTGCTTCTGCTCTAACTTTCGCGCAATAACTCGATTGGAAACGCTTGCTACGCAGGCTATTTACAATGTAAAAAAGGACATAAGAATATCATTAATCACAGGCTTACATATAACACTACTGTACATACTGGGAAATTAATAGCATACACATCTTAAAAAGGAAAGAAAACAAAAACAAATATGATGAAACTAAATGTCATATGCCTTTTTAAAAAGAAATGTTTTCAACTTAGATTTAAAAAGATTAACATCAGAACAAGCTTGAATTTCAAAGGGGAGCTTGTTCCCTAGTTGGGGGGCAGCAACGGAAAACGCTCGCTGGCCATTAGTTTTCACGTTAAAATTTGGTTCTTCAAGGTGTAAATGATCCCTTGATGATCGTAATGTCCTTAATTGATGGTAAAATTTTAAAATATCTTCAAGATAACATGTATGCAAATCCAAAACTTCTAAGCAATACCAAAAGTGTTATAATTTATGACTTTTAAAGGTTACTGAAGATGGGTAAAAAAACTTCTGTAATAATTGTGAACAAATGGCCAACAGACTGCCAACAATTGACCTCCAGCAGTGGCCAGTAAATTTAGGCCAATTCTCAACTGACTGTTGGTGTTACATGTATAATTATTGGTAATGTGCCACGAAGCTGTTGTTAAACATTATCGTTAGTTTTTACTTTTTTTTTTGCCTAAACTGCACTGATAATGTAAAAAAATTTTGAAAGTTGCTGTAATCACCACCCATATTATCATAAGCTGAAGTAGTGAAAAAGTTATTTTTTGTGCAAGGACCTTGATTTTTATCAGTGTCCATTTTGCAAAGCTTGCAAAACATTATAGGGTCATCCATTTTGAGACATGTTCAGTTGTTTGTGTTCATTAATGCATGTTTTTCATATAAACGCTCAGCCTAAGTTGGAATAACAAGTGTAAAAAGTGTAATATAACAGGCTTCATACCCATCTAACTTTATTTGATTTTTCAGCCACCTATAACAGTAGCAACAGCAAGGATACTAAGCTAAGAGATGAACATGTTGATGCCAAAAGAAATGCAACTAGAGATCAATTCCGACAAAGACAACCACACACAGGGCCTGCAAAACAATAGGAAAATGATGAGCAGTTGGTATTGTCCTTATGGTATGTATTTTAGTTATTGCTATTTGTGTTGTTTTGCATTGTCATGCAAAGATTTCTGGACTAAGAGTTTCTGTGCATTAAGTTTTTTGCTACAGATGACCCCAGCACCCGAGACCTATTGTAGTCAACTGTCTGGTATTTGTTACAGCTGTATTCCGGCCCCTAGGGTGTTCTTTTACATTTTACAGAGTAAGGTTAAGTGAAAATGTTGGGAGACAAGGCCTTATGTTTTTCATACTGGTCTTATCCTACATATAGAACACAAGAAGGTCTAACCATTAATTATTTTGCAAATGTGAAACAAAGACAATATTCACCATCTTAGTCACTGTAAGAGTACAGCTGTTGGTCCAGCTTGGAATTAAACCTACCGTGTGGCACAAAATTTTTTGCGGGAGTTCATTTTTGCGGATAGGCAATTTTGTGTGATTTTTGTGATAAGGACAGATTGGTTTTTCTTGCTGGGAATTGATTTTTGCGATTTTCAGAGAGTACCATACCCAGTAAGCATTGATAATATTTTCGTTTTTATTGAGTACATGCAATAGAAATACATAATTATTTTTAAACAATAAACGAGTATTTCTTTGAATACCATTTTGTTTCTGGGTGAAAAAGACAAGTTGCGATTGAACAGACACGGTTTCTAATACTGTATTTTTGTGTAGCCAATTTAGGTTAGAGAATATTTACTCTGCAGTAAATTTTTGCGGGAAAAATGTTTGATTTGCAGAAACTTATTTTAGCAGATCACTGGAAAAATTGAAAAAAATTAGAACCGGCAAAAATTTTGTTGTTTGCAGAGTAGGTCATGACATGATATAGTGTAGAGCGTGACACATTTCGTGTAGACTTACATCACACTAGAGAATAAATGAAGCACATGGTCAACTAGATAGTTGCAGTAGTGATTTCACAGCTAGCAATTATCTAACTGATTTATGTATTGAGAGGATACAACAGGCCTGCTCCTCTGATGTCTACATGTAGTACCCCACTGCAAGGTTACTAGGCCTCTTGTGTTTTCATGTAAAATAAAATATATATTGGTAATCCATCTCCTTTTGATCATTAGTTTATCACTGGGCTTCACATACCAGCACAAATCTTACCAGGATTGAACAAGAGACTGATTGTACAGCCTGTAGTTCCATATAGGACAGGAGTCAGAATAATGTCAAAGCTGGCTGAGTTTACTGAAAATCAAGACCATTCTGGTTACTCAAATGAGCTGGTAATATTTAATACCTGACTTAGCACATAACCACTTTGTGTTGAATTTTAGGAATGAAAGTTTTTTTAAGAAATACACTTAGTCATAGATTAGAAAATTTATCTAAACCATTATTCTCCTTCAGACCAAAAAAAAAACGTTTTTAGGGTTTGACAAAGGTGGTTGTGTCCATGGCCTTAGCAGCTATTTTTTAATAATTAATAATTTTTTACCTACAATACTATTTTAATAGTAATAGTGGGTCAATATAAATACTTCAAATAGGCAGTGTTCCACACTGGTAACTAGTTTCCACAAATTAATAGTTTCCTTGAGCAAGCTCCAGTTTGCACCTTTTTTAATGGGCAGTAATAATATTATTAATTCTTTCTTCAAATGTTTATACTTGTTTTCTGTCTGAATTTATGATATTTATGAAATATTATTCCTTGTTGATTATTAGACATGCAAAATTATTTCCCTACTACTGTAATTTTGAGATTTAAAGCTAAATTGGAACGTACTTTAATACTAGTAAGTACAAGGGTTGAGGAGAATAATTTTTAGAACTGTGCAAAAAAATTATCGAATCTCTTTCTTAAGCTGCCCGGAGTTTAATAATTCTTCCTTTTTGTCTCGTTCCTAAAATAATTTCATGACAGCTCTAGCAATGTGAAGACAGCCATCCTCCATGGTGGCTATATACTCACTAACTTAACGTCACCTTATGAGAATATGCATCAGCCAAAATCATCATTTCTTCTCAGACGTAAAGATTACATGAGATTACAAGATTACATGACAGAGGTGCAGTAGACTTAGGTGGTTTAGAGGATGAAACTATATATTGTTTATTATGTTTTTTTGGTGTAATTTTTTTGGCGTGGTTTTATTTAAAGCTGTGTTTAGATTGCAACAAATTGCTAGAAGTTGTAGCTTATGTTGGATCAGTGAACTGACTCATACTGCATTCAGGTTCTCCGCCATAGAACCAGTATTGGTGATAATGGTAATAGTAATATTGATAGTAAAGAATAATTAATTTTATATTACATTGTAACAACAATAGTATGGTAGTGTAAAACTTGAAATTGACCTTGTCACACTATAAGAACAAATTAATACATGTATATCTTCATACACTGTATCCTTTCTGAAGATTAATGAAATTAATAATTACTTGTTACATCTTGTCTTGTAGTTTTAAGTCAATGAAAGAACATTATCTTTTTAGAATTAAAACTAGTAAGTTTGAAATTATAACAATAGTATTCGATTAAAAAGGATTGTGGTAGTGATAAGAAAGAAGTGTGATACGAGTAACTGATTTCAATTCAGAAGAAATAATTCATCAAGGATCGCAGTTTTCAGCTGCCACAAAGCTGGCTTCTAATCCTTGCTAACAGATTATCGTTCAGTGAAATAAGCAACCTAAAGATGTGAATGAAATTGTCACTCAAGTACTATTTTTTCAGAGACTGTAAATCTTTTAATTAAGCTAAATGCATTCCTATTATTGTATAATCTTTTGCACACTTAGTTCTATAAATAATTAGAATAGAGGCATGTACTTAATTACCAATTAATGAATGAGGCTGAGTATCATATGAAGAATTATGCAGATCGAGGCGAGTGTTTCCGAGATCTCCATAATTCTTCATATCACACGAAAGCCGAATTCAATAATTGTTTTATTATTTATTTAAAATTATTCCTAGTTTAAAAACATGGCTAAACATGCTAAGTTACCTCCATCGATGTTAAGTTCATCTTCGATAGCGCACGTTTAGGGTTGATCAGCTCCGCAAATATTCTTCAAATAGCAGATGTTGCCCTTCGAGTTGTCTTTTAGCTATTATTTCTCCTAGTTCTTACTCTTGAAACGAGTGAAATGTCCGCCATTTTTGTTGTCACAACCAAAACAACTCAACCTCGTCCCCAGGTCCTCTTGGTTAACGGTGTATTAACCTGCAAGAAAGCTGCACTTTTGACGTTATCGGTTGATTAATCGCAAAATTCTTCCAAATTTGGTTATCAGTAGGTGGTCGTGGTGAATTATGCGTGTGCTTTTAGCCAATCAGAAACGAAGAAATATTTTGAATGCATAATTAATAAATATATGTACCATGGCGTCAATTAGTAATTTTTTTCTGCTCCTGTTAATTTTACTGATTGAAAAAAAAAACACGGCTTTGAAGGGATAAATTCATAGCAAATGTTGTCGGAAGGTTTGTAGTAAATTTTACCTTTGTCCCATGCTAAAAAGGATCAATACGTACAATGTAGATTATCAAAAGTAGGTTGAGTTTGATCGTCCAGGTGGACGTAGTCCTGAATAGGACTGTTGTTGTTGACAGTGACTGACGTTTCGACAACCTGTGCGGTAGTCATTAGATTATGTACTTATTATGTAATATGTAATATATTAACTCTCTGTAAGGAAGACACCGTGGAGGCGCTATGACTTATAGTTCGTTTTAGAGAAATGACCACCGGGTAGAAAGTGAAAAAAAATGACTAGGGAGCAGCAGGAGATCGACTCTACATATCATTTTTGGAAAAAAAAAACAA